GAAAGGACACAACTGCTCCTAGGTATGTTTGGAAGAGAAAGTTTGTTGTAGATATATGGCAGAACACAATCGGAGGCAGCTCAGTCTGGTCAAGTGCAGGAGGTCAAAGGTACAAGAGGGATAGGTAACCAAAATGTCTGGATTATATAGGGAAGAACCTCTGGTAGAAAAGCAGGCCAGCTCTTGTGCTCAACAGTTCAGCATAGAGGGTAGGGTATGCTGTGATCCATACTCTGTCATAGGTAGGCACTGAGGGATGCTGGGAGAACCTGGTGGCCAAGTCTGCTCTCATATGTTAAATAGGCACATTAACTGTTTGTCCAGGGTTTGAAACTTAACAGATTCTTTTCCTCTAACTATGCGTTTTCCTATAGGAAACATGTTAAAATCTGAATTTCTTTCCTCCATGTTATACACAAATTTAATACAAAATTAAATAAAAATTATGAAAAGTGATGATTATCTATAATGCTGGGGAAAAGAGATGGAAATTGGCTGACATGAATCAAGTTGGAAATCCAGTGGTCTCTCTTAATCTGTCTAGTTAACAGCACAACTGTAGGAGCCACAGGCCAGATCCCATCACTCAGAGATGAACTGGGATGTGGGAAGCCTCTATGTTTTTGATTACTAATGCTGCAATTTGTTACTGGGACTTGCCATTTTCCCAGGGAGTAATGTGAAACAATAACCTTCAAATATTATAACAATCAAAAGACAGCAAATACCTAAGATTAAGGAGCAACAGACTTCAGTGAATAAAACAAGCTTCTACTGATGTTTCAAACTTTAGATGACTTTTAAAAGGATAACTGGCTAATTAGTATCAGTTATTGTTCAGTTACAACCAGGTACTTCCTTTTCTTGGTTTTAAGCACTCATTGTATAGAATAATGGGTCAGTTGTGGCTTTTTTATGTATGCATATAATGTATTTTGATCATACTTCTTTGTATATATTGAATTTTATTATAATTTTTAGAATTTCATTTTATGTATTCATGATATCATGTAAATAAGGACATTATACACACATGCATGTCATACATTAAGCATTTTTCATTCCAAACCTCCATACTATCCTCTTTGTTTTCCCTCCTCTTTCTATTAGCTCCTCTGTTCCTTTATACAGTTTCAACTCTACTTCCAGGTCATATACACATACATAATGTTATATACTGATATAAAAATCCAGGAATGACAAATGAGAGAAAATTCTGCTATTCATCTTTTTGAGACTGGATTAATCCATTTAATATGGTTATCTCCAGTTGCATTCATTTTCCTGAAAATTTATCAATTTGATTCTACTTTGTGGCTGAAAAAAAACCTCCCACCATGTGTGCATGTGTGTGTGTGTGTGTGTGTGTGTGTGTGTGTGTGTGTGTGTGTGTGTGTGAGACATTTACTTTATCCCTGCTGTGGAAGTTTAAATGAGTTGTAATGCCTGCCCCCACATGCTGTGGGATGTTCTGTATGGCAAATGTGTTGCTCTGATTGGTCAATAAATAAATCACTGCTTGGCCAGTGGCCAGGCAGGAAGTATAGGCGGGACAAGGAGGAGAATAAAACTGGGAAGAGGAAGGCTGAGTCAGAGAGACACTGCCAGTTGCCATGATGACAAACATCATATGAAGATGCCGGTAAGCCATGAGCCATGTGGCAAGGTATAGATTTATAGAAATGGATTAATTTAAGCTGTAAGAACAGTTAGCAAGAAGCCTGCCATGGCCATACAGTTTGTAACCAACATAAGTCTCTGTGTTTACTTGGTCGGGTGTATGCGGCTGTGGGACTGGCAGATGAGAGAGATTTGCCCTGACCGTGGGCCAGGCAGGAAAACTCTAGCTACAAACCACAGCTTCAAGTATTTCAATACTTAGTTCTCAGTTAGTGGTGCTGTTTGGGAAGGTCATAGAGCCTTTAAGAGTTGCAGTTGGAAGTACATCCACAAAGAAGACTTTGAGGTTTTACAGCCTTTCCCATTTGCTTTCTTGGCTTCCCGGACGACAAAATGTGATCAGCCAGCTTCCTGCTCCTGGCATCTGCTGCCATGCCTTCCTCATCATTATGGAGTCCCTGTTCAGAACCATAATCCAAATGAATTCTTTCTTCCTTAATTTGCTTTTAGTCCTCATGTTTTATCACAGTGACAGGAAGTAATTAATTAATACACATGATTTTGTGGATGGACAGCTAGGTTGTTTCCACAACTTAACTATTGCAAATGGCGCTATAATAAACAATGATGTGCAAATATCTTAGCAATGGAGTATTAATTAGTATTTTTAGACTTGGGGGACCTCCATACTAAGTTGGCTAGATTGGTTTACATTAATACTAGTAGTTTATAATCATTCCTTTTGTTTTGCATGCTGCAGTTTGCTGTTGTTTTCTCATTGGCTACCTACTAGGATGAGGTGGAATCTCCATATAATTTTGATTTGTATGTCTTTGATGAATAGTGAAGTTAAAACATTTTTGTGTTTATTGGTAATTGTTGTTAATGGTGCAGAGAAATGCTGTTGTGCTGGCTAGTTTTATGCCAACTTGACACAAGCTATAGTCATCTGAGAAGAGGGACTCAATTGAGAAAATGCCTCCATAATTTAGGGCTGCAGGTAAGCCTGTAGTGTTTTTTTAAATTAGTGATTGATATAGGAGGAACTAGTGTAGTGGTATTTGCTCCGCCCATGACTTGGGGCTATACGGCCATTGTACATGACCTCTTATAAGGAATTGGAGAAGGATCACATGCTCCTACTCCCTGCTCCTGCCTGTGAGGTGGATTCACTCCCAGTTAGATCAGAGGATGACTTCTGCTGTCTACTCTGTTCTGTAATTGTGAGTGTATTTCCTCAATTTATATTTTAATAAATTCTGTTACCCATTTAGTAGACTCATGTGTGGAAGTTGCTTACAATGCACTTCCTGTTTTACTTGGTAATGTTATATCCTTCTAGGGTCTTTGATGTAGTTGAAGACTAAATAATTAGAGTTATAATTCTCCTTGGTTATGATAAAAGATAAATTAGATGTAAAACTTTAGACTCAAAAATATAGGATAGATGATAAAATATTTTCTTTAGTTTTGTCAAATACAAATAGACTAGATATTATAACTATAATTATTTTTTGATAACTGTTTGTTATATACAATTTTACTATATTAAAGCTAAAACCTTCCTTTTTGATTAGATAGAAAAGGGAAAATGCTGGGGGATGTATTTCTGCATGCTGTGTATATATGTTGTTCCCATGAGTTAATAAATAAGCTGCTTTGGCCTATGGCAAGGCAGCTTAGAGGCAGGTGGGAAATCCAAGGAGAGAGACAGGAAAGAGAAAAGTGGAGTCTAGAGAGACGCCAGCCTGACACCCAAGGAACAACATGTCAACAGATCAGTAATGCCACAGCCACATAGCAATGCATAGATTAATAGAAATGGGTTAATATAACATGAAAGAGCTAGCTAACAAGGATTATTAGCTATAAGCCATACAGTTTGTAAATAATAAAAGCCTCTGTGTGTTTACTTGGGACCAAGCGGCTGTGGGACATAATTAATATAAGTCTCTGAATGATTATTTTATAAGCAGCTGAGGGAGACCGCAAGGCCGGGCAGGACTGAAGGAACTCATGACTGTGGGACCTGGCGGGACCTGAGAAAACTTATGGCTACAACCTAGTCCTTTGTGGGTTGGGTCACCCGTAGGCTGGTGATCCAAGGTTCTATAAGAAAGGCAAGATGTGTAAAGCCATGTAAAACAAGCCAGTAGACAGCATCCCTCCATGGCCTCTTCATCAGCTCCTGCCTCCAGGTTCTTGCCCTGCTTGAGTTCTTGTCCTGATGTCCTTCAATGATGACCAATGATATGGAATCATAAGCCAAATAAGTCCTTTCTTCCTCAAGTTTCGTTTGTCATGGTGTTTCTTCACCATAATAGTAACCCTAATTAAGACAGCTATCATTTTTATGTATTTATTTTGTGTCCTACAAATTTGTTGAAAAATCTATTAATTCTGATAAGAGTTTTCTGGAGTCTTTGGGATATCTTATATAGGGAATCATATGATCTGCAAAGAAAGAATACTCTGACTTCTTTTCCTATTTATTTCTGTCCCATTTTCCTCTTGTCTTAAGGTTTCAAGCACTGTAAGAATGGAGAAAGTGGCCGGGCAGTGGTGGCGCACACCTTTAATCCCAGCAATTGGAAGGCAGAGTCAGGTGCATCTCTGTGAGTTCGAGGCCAGCCTGGGCTACCAAGTGAGTTCCAGGAAAAGGCGCAAAGCTACACAGAGAAACCCTGTCTCAAAAAACCAAAAAAAAAAAAAAAATGGAGAAAGTGGACATCTTTGCCTTGTTTCTGATTTCAGCAAGAATGCTTGGGTCTTCTTCCATTTCGTTATGACATTGATGTGGATGTTTGATGTGCAGACTTTTTTTTTTACAATGAGTTGTCTTCTTTTTATTCATAATCTTCTCAGTGATTTATCATGAAGGCTTCTTTGACATTGTCAAAAGCCTTTCCTGTACCCACTGTGACAATCATTTGGCTCCTCTCTTTGAGTCCACATTTGTGACACATTATATTTATTAATTTGTATATATTGAAACAATCCTATAACTCTTGTGTTGTCAAGTTGATCATGGTTAATGAACTTTTTTTTTTTTTTTTTTTTTTTTTTGGTTTTTTTCGAGACAGGGTTTCTCTGTAGCTTTGCACCTTTCCTGGAACTCACTTTGTAGACCAGGCTGGCCTGGAACTCACAGAGATCCGCCTGGCTCTGCCTCCCGAGTGCTGGGATTAAAGGCGTGCGCCACCACCGCCCGGCCGGTTAATGAACTTTTATGATGTGTTCTTTGCTGTTGTTTTCAGTGGCTATTAGCATTACCGTAATTAAAATTTTTTTTAGATGAGGGCTGTATACTGATGTCACTGACATAGTTCAGAAAGTTGAGTGGTTCTCACAATCACCCTACCCCCTTCCTCTGTCCACAGAAGGATGCCCAAGTTGAAAAACAGAACAATTCAAGGTGGAAAGAAAATCTGAAAACACTGAATATCTTGCCCAAAGTGATAGTGGAATAACAAGCAATGGATTCACCATCCATCCATCTTATCTGTAAGGTACTCTGCTATCTACATTCTGCCTCCCATTGTTTCCTTTTCTCTCTCATCTAACCACCCCTTTCTCTTTTCTTCCTCCTTTCCTTCTGTCCCTATGAAACATTAAATGTTTGTCTGGGTTAATCAAGATTGTTTCACAACAACCCAAGACTGAGACTCAGAGGTAGTGACATTTGGTTCAGGGACTGTCGCCATCCCCTGGGAACTATGTGAAAGACTGCTCTGAAGACAGTGGCTGTTCTCTTGTTTGAGTTTAGCTTGGAAAGAGTATATGACAAACTTTTGTGTCTATGTTCATTGGGAAGCTTAATCTATAATTTTTCTTTATTATCTTGTTTTTCAACTTGTTTGGATGCCAGGGTAAAGCTTTGTAAAAATAGTTTAATATCTTTCATTTCTATTTTATGGAATAATTTGAAAAGGATTAATGTTAGTTTACCTTTAAAAGTCTAATGTAGTTCAGCTGTATATCCAACTGAACTTCTCACAAAAAGGAGAATTTCATTCAACTTCAATCTTGTTGCTTGTTATAGATCTGTTCAAATTATTGATCTCATCTTGACTTACTTATTCATTCATACACACATAGAATATATCCAATTTTTTTACAGAGTTTTCAATATAGTGAAATAGGTATGTCCTTATGATTTCCAGAGTGTCACTGGTATCTTTTTTTCATCTTGAATTTTGTGAGCTTAACTATTCTCTCTCTCTCTCTCTCTCTCTCTCTCTCTCTCTCTCTCTCTCTCTCTCTCATAAGTTTAGTGAAGATTTTTTCAAACTTATTTAGTTTTCCAGATCAGGATTTATTTCATTGATTCTTTTTATTCTTTTCTTTGTTTCCATTTCATTAATTACTGCTCTTATTTTATGATTTCTTCCAATCTACTAGTTTAGGATTTGGCTTGTTCAGGGTTTGTTTTTGTTTTTGTTTTATTTTGTGCCCTCCTTGATTTTTTTAAAGCATGATCAGTTTTTGAAATTCTTTGTTGGGATTTCATCTAGTTTGGTCACATTGGAGAATATTACTGTGTCATTAATACTTTCTGAAGGAATTGCATTGCTCTGAATTTTTGTGTTCTGTGTATTTTTACATTGTGTAGTGGTGATGAGGTAATTGACTGTATTTTTTTCAATCACTCTTATTCTTTCAGGGAAAACATTTACAGTACTGGAAAGAGACTAGGTCTAGTGGAACTAAAGCATCATTATTCTGTGCTAGACTGGCATTGAGGTCAACCAGGTTCAATGTCTAGTATTCCCTGAATCTACCACTCATGAATTCACTTAGGCTAGTTAACCAGTGATACCAGGGGTTGTCTTCCACCTACTTTCAGGTACAGCCACACAGGCTTTTTTACATGGGTATTGGCATCTCAGATCTTCATGTTTACTTGGCAAGCATCTTACCAACTTTGCCATCTCTCCAGCCCCAGTTCCTGTGTTTTACCATTTGATTTTGTCCACCTGAATATGAAATAAATACTGTTCCAGAAAGCAATTTAGCTTTTCTCTAAAGGATTTCAGTTGCTTCTGAAGGACTTTTTCTCTTTATCCAGAGCATTTGCATTTTTAGAGCACAGGTGACTGCAAAATATCCATGTCCCTGTAAATGGACCTCTCATGAAAGAAAGCCTCATGCAAGCTGCATCATGAAGGTCTACCTTCAGGCAGTCTTCCACTTCCTACATACCTCATCATAAATTTCAAGACAATTTGTCAGAATATCAATAGGAAACCCTTTAGGGTATTCTGAAACAGAAAAAGAATTTAAATAAAAATAGCAAATATTTCAAAGAATAGTGCTAGGCATCATAGCAGCCCTCTTGTTACCTGCTGCAAACTCATGTATTACCCTTCAGACTGACTCTCCCACTTCAGGTAGACACAAAGAAGGCAAACCGAGGCAAGCAGTTGCTAATTTGAAACCAGTCAGTTCAGGGAAGTCCAGAGTCCATGGCCACAGGATGGAACTCTCTCAGAGGTCTCCATCAGGACTCCTCCCATAAGGACTGGCGGGGAGGGGATTGCTTTCAAAGCTGCCAGTCATATGGGAGATGGGACAAAGATAGGCACCTGAGCAGAAAACTAACTTTGAGTTTCAAGCAGACAGCTTTGAGGTGATGTTTGGTGGAGCAAGCTGTTGGAAAGCTGAGACTATAAGTGCTAATGGAGCAGACAGTACAGCAACAACCTTGCCCTGCTGCAGCACAGACCTGCTGCCATGGGGATAAAGCTTACACTAAGAAGGAGAAGTGTAGCTGTTCTATGAAAAAACAAAAAATCAGGGTATTGATTGATTGCTCGGTGTTTATTCCCTGAGACTTGTGTCTATGCACCCGAAGTGTTTTGATTTTACAGATAACAAAAACAACGCATTCCGTGCTCCCCCAATGATACAAAAGAGCTTTTGAAAATGAGAGCTTTCCTTTTCTGTTAAAGGGAAGAGTCAAGAACTAAAACAATTAATTCATTGAATTATTCCCAGGATGAATAAATGAAAGGAAATTAAGCAGGATTGATGTAGGGATACTGGGAATTATCCCCATGCTCCAGAAGACATTGTCAATGTAAGATGTATTCCACAAATGGAAAAATTTCCTAAAATGATGGTGTTAAGAGGGGAGTTAGACAGGGAGAGAAAAGGGATAGAGCAAGAGTCAAGAACCAAATACTCACCTATTGTCAAGTTGACACCTTTGATCATCAACTCAGTAGACAAACCTCCCTGTGTTAGCTTTGGTTCTGTTGCTGTGATCAAAAACCTTAACAAGAGCTGGAGAGATGGCTCCGTGGTTCAGAGCACTGGATGCCCTTCCAAAAGACCCAGGTTCAGTCCCTGCCACCTACACAGCAGATCTCAATCATCTGTAACTCCAGTCCCAGAGGATCCAACATCCTTTTCTGGTCTCCATGGACACCAGACCCACGTGTGGTACACAGACACACATGCAGGCAAAACACCCATACTCATAAATAGATAAAACTACTGTAAAAAAAACCACCCTGAACACAAAAAACTTCAGGGAAATAGAGCTTGTTTTAGCTCACAAATAAGAGCTGTAGTCCATCACAGGAGGGAGCTAAGGGCAGCAGGCTCTCAAAGCATTTGGCTATACCTGGTCATACCACTTCCACAAACCAGAAAGCAGAGACCCATGAACTCAAGCTTCTGTTCAGCTTCCCTTCTTCCTCCATTTTTATACAGCCCAGGCTCTCCTGTCCAGGAATGGTCCTGGTCACAGCTAACATGGGCCTTCCCTTCAGTTATTTTTAAGGGTATGACCCCCTGGTATGTCAACCATGTGCTAGTGTATGGCGCTGTACTCATGTGTATATGGGCTACACAAATTGAACTAAGTGAGCTATTAAATTTAAAAAAAAAATGGGCATTTGTAAAAGAGGGTTGGAGGAATGAGAGCCAGATAATGAGAAGTTAGGGGGAATGGTGGGGGTGAATAAAACAAAAATGCATTTGTATGCCAAGTGGCGGTGGCACACTCCTTTAATCCCAGCACTCAGGAGGCAGAGCCAGGTGGATCTCTGTGAGTTGGAGGCCAGCTTGTTCTACAGAGTGAGATCCAGGATAGGAACCAAAACTACACAGAGAAACCCTGTCTCAAAAAAACCATAAAAAAGTGCATTGTATGCATATATGAAATCCTCAAAGAATTGTCAAAACATATTTTTAAAATATGGGTATTCCCACATCAGACAACATAATCAAGATATCCCCTACAGGCATGCCCAAAGGCCCATGTACCAGATGATTCTATATCCTGTCAAACTGAGTTAACACAACCATCAAAGCTTCCAACACCATAATTATATGTATAAGCAGGCAAAGTTGGAAAATGGAATTTCTGAAACTTTAACATCTTATCACTTTAAGACACACAGAGTACTTTTGCTTTTAAAGACAACTCCACTCCCAAATTGAAAAATATAAGAAATTAGCAGTAATGATAAGCAAAGCACTGTGGTGATATTGTGTTCCCCAATATATTGTGCACCATAATAAACTTATCTGGGGTCAGAGAACAGAACAGCCACTAGATATAGAGGCCAGAAAATGGTGGCACACACATCCAGATCTCTGTGAGTTCAGTGTTACACTGGAACAGCCAGGCATGGTGACACACACCTTTAATCCCAGGAAGTGATGGCAGGAAGCAGAAAGGTATATAAGGTGTAAGGACCAGGACCTAGAGTCTTGTTAAGCTTTTAGGCTTTTAGAAGCAGTTCAGCTGAGATCCATTTGGATGGGGACTCAGGCTTCCAGTCTGAGGATACAGGATCAGCTGAGGAATTGGCGAGGTGAGGTGGCTATGGCTTGTTCTGCTTCTCTGATCTTCCAGCATTCACCCCAATGCCTGGCTCCAAGTTTGATTTTATCAATAAGACCTTTTAAGATTCATGCTACGAAACACTGCCATTCTTATTGATAATAATGTAAATTATCATGACCCTTTGAACTTGACATGTGTAAAAAAGCTCCAAGAAAGTTTATAGGAACTATTATACTTTAACCTTTACCACACTTTTATTTATTTATGGTGTGTAGATGTGTGTGTGTGTGTGGCAGAGTGGGGAGTAGAGGGCACAAACCTGCCATGAAAACTGTGAACGGAGGTCAGAGAACAACTTTTGGAGTCTGTTCTTTCCTTCTAGGGTCCCAGGGAGCCACATCAGGTGGCCAGTCTAGACATGTCACCTGTATCTGTGCAGCCATCATTCCAGTCCAGCAAAAAAATAAAAAATTAAAAAGTTTTAAATAAGATAATAGACAAATCAGGATGGTAACTTTTGGTGCCTGACTCTGAAGGAATGGGTGGGTGCTTTTATTTGCTACCGCAATTACGTTTGCTGACATTAAATACAGTTATTTTGATATAATATGAAGTGACTTTAAAAAGCTGACTACTGATTTGACTTCTGATTCTGACAGTGTGTAGGGTACCTTAGCTCTTCTCATAATCACCCCACTGAAAGGAATGAAA